AGAAAAAATGCTGAAAACTAAGACCTGGTAGGGGAAGATTAAGAATAATAATAAAAAGGAAAAAAGTATTAATTGTTGTTTTTATGTGCCGTTGAGTTGGCCCCGACTCATAGCGACCCCTCCTTGGGTTTCCGAGGCAGTATCACTATGGAAGTAGATTGCCCCATCTTCCTTCCGAGGAGCGGCTGGTGGGTTTATCATTGTCTTTCCAAGTTTAAAGCAGTCTGTTCTATCTTGATGTCATCTTGATTTCTTCTCCATTTGGAAGTTGTATAACTATATCATTTCCTCCTCCTTTTTACTTAGTAGTTATCATTGTTTGCAAATTGAAATCCCTAGTTCTCTAGTCAATTCATTCTTGTAAGTTTGTCTTATTTTTGGTATTTCTGTAACTGGATCGAGGAGCTCTGGTGACACATTTTGGCTGCTAACCAAAAGGTGGGGGGTTCAAACCCACCAGCCACTCTGTGGAAAAAAATGGGACAGTCTGCTTTTGTAAAGGTTTATAGCCTTGCAAACACTATGGAGAAGTTTTATTCTGTCCTATAGGGTCACTGTGAGTTGGAATTGATTTGATGATGGTGAGTTTTATTGTATATATCTGGTTGACTTCTGGGTGATATTATGTTTCCTAATCTCTAGTTGTTTTCTACTGTTGTTGGTTCTCAGTCTGAAGGACTCTCTTTAGCATTTCTTGTAAGGTTGGTCTGATTTTTACAAATTCCTTTTATTTCTGTTTATCTGGGAATGTTCTAATTTTAGGGACAGTTTTGCTGGACATATCACTATTGCTTGGTAATGTTTTTCTTTCAGGGTTTTATATGTCATCTCATAGCTTTCTTGCTTGCATGGTTTCTTCGTAGAAATGAGAACTTAGTCTGACTGGTTCTCCTTTGTAGGTAACTTTTATTTTTTTCTGAGCTGTTATCAGGATTCTTTGTCTTTGGTTTTTGGAGAGTTTGATTATGATGTATATTGGAGTGATTTTCTTTTGGGATCTATTCTATTTGGGGTTTGTTGAACTTCTGGAATCCATATCTTCTCCTTTTTTATGATATTAAGGAAGTTTTCTCCCAACAAATCTTTCAAAATTTCCTTGGTGGTTTTTTTTTTTTTTTTTTGTCTCTTCCTGTCCTGGAATTCCTGCCACATATGTTATTATCCTCTTGATGTTGTCCCACATAATCATTGGCTTTCTTCGTTTTGTTTTTTGGAATTCTTCCTCTAACAGTTTAATACTAATTTTCTTAAATTTCATGAATTCTGTCTTCTATTAATTCAATTCTTCTTTGTCTTTCCATTGCTTTATCTCTTTGTGAAATTTTAGTATGAATCTTCTGGGTTTTATTTGCTATTTTTTGTTTGGGTTCTAATTTTCCATTTATTTTGTTAATTTGTTCTTATATTATTATTTTTTTTAATTCTTCTAGAGTTTTGTCTGTGTTTTCCTTGATTTTTTTTTTTTCTGTAGTATCCTTAAACTTTCTCACAATCCATTGAAGATAGCTAGCTATAATTCTATTGAATTCCTTTTTAGGTCATTCCAAAATAATTTCTTCCTCTGGAAAAATTTTCTGGCCCTGTGTTTTGGTCACTTGTTTGAGCCATCTTGTCTTTTGAGTGTGTGTGTGTGTGTGATGGTGATTTGAATTTGTCTTTTGAAGTTGTCTTTTGTTTCTAAGAGGAGCTCTGGTGGTGTAGTGCTAAGGCACTTGACTGCTAACCAGAAGACTGGCAGTTCAAACACACCAGCCACTCCCCTGAAGGAAGATTGGGCAATCTAATTCTGTAGTGATACAACCTCAGAAACCCAAGGGGGGGGTGTCACTATGAGTCGAAGTGACTCAGCGGCAGTGAGTTTTTTTCTCTAAGATTTTGTAGTGTTACTGGTTTGCTTTTATCTGGATTTTTTTTTTTTTTCAACTATATCTGGGAAACAGAGAAGGTTTGTTTCTCTTTTTGCTAGTTTGGCAGCACTGGGGCACTCACCACCTGTCTCTGGGTGGATTTATTAGTGAGTGAGAATGTGGACAGAAGACTCTGATCACTGATCATGCAGAGCATCTGATGGCAAGCTGGGCATGTGTTGTTGGCTGCTGTCTGTCTGTGGTGGTTAAGTTTGTGTTTGGACTTAAAGCCTTCAAACTGTAAGAGAACAAACTCCTGGTTGTTAAAGCCATCACATTTGTGGTATATTTCTGTCAGAGCAGCACTAGGTAACCAGAACACTGTCAATCATATAGTAGTGGTGCTTGAGTGGGTGGTGGCCCTCACCCATTGTGTAGGGTGGCAGGTGTGGTGGGTATGGTTGGGTAAGGTCACTGGCTCTCTACTGCTGGGGAAAGACAAAGGGAGTAACAAAAGAAAGAAAAATAGTGGGGAGAGGGGAAAAAGGAAAAAGGAAAAACAAGGAAGGAGGGAAAGAGGTGAAACCTAAAAGGAAAGAAAAAGAGAAGAGGAAGAGAAACAAACAAACAAAAGCACCAAAAAATGAAAAACCAAATATGGTACTGTACTGGTGCAAATGCTAGCCACAAAATGACTACCACAGAAATGTGGCTTTTGCTATGTGGGAGTGTACACTGGTGAATATGGAGTGTCAAGGCTGGGACTACTGAATGGGCAGGAGGGGGAAGGCACTTGCACAGCTGAAATTAAAAAAAAAAAAAAAAAAGAAGAGGAAAAAAATAGCAAGGGGAATAGGAAGAAAAAAATACAGAAAAAAATAAGGGAGAGGAAGAGGGAAGAATACAGAAGAAAGGAAAAAATGCAAAAGTAAAAGAAGAGAAAGAAAGAAACTGACAGAAATGTTAACTGCCAAATGCAGCTGTGGCAGGAACATAGAGATCACTTTGGGGAAAGCACACTCCATCCACGTAGAGACGAGGACAAGGGCTGCTATTGAAGTGAGGGGGCAGGAACCTTCTCAGCAGAATCAAAAAAATAAAAAGTAAATAAAAGAAAAGGAAGAGAAAAAAGAGGTAGAGAAAACAAGAGAAGAGGAAAATAAGGGGGAGAATAGGGATGGACTAAGAAGACAAAAAAGTGGGAGTGGGGGGTGGGGAGAGAAAGAAAGAAAACAGCACAGTACCAATGAAAATTCCAGCTACCAAACATGGTTGTCTGACGACACAGCATTCTCTCTTTAGGAGTCTGTTCCTCAGACCGGGGTGGTGGGGGGTGGTGGGGGGTGTTGTGGGCAGGGCTGGTTCTGCTAACTGTGTGGGCAGCAGGAGGAGGAGCTCTTTCTCTTTGAGATGAAGAAAAAGAAAAAGGGCAAGAGAAGAAGAAAGGGTAAAAAGGATAGGAAAAGAAGAAAAGGAGGGGACTAGGAAGGAACTAAGCAGAAGGATAAAGATTAAAAAAAGAGAAAAAAATTAAAGTGGCACAGCACAGGCAGTAGGAGGAGTTTGACCAGGCCCTAGGTGTGTGGGGGGTTGGGGGGATGCTCTTCTGATCATTGAGAGGTTGTGCAAAGTAAAGGGGGAGGTCACACCTCTCTGGTTGCCTGGTAACCAGTGTAGATGCTAGTACAGGCCTGAGCAAATGGACCCAGTTATCTGGTTCCTGCTTTAATTGGGTTGCTACTTGCAGTAATTCAAAGTGGCTGTGCTGTGCTGGTTGGCAGTTTACCACTCCTTGTTCACTGTTTTCATTTAGTATCTCCTCTCATCGATATTTGATCTATTTCTTTATCCTTTCCTTTGACGCTTAGTGTTTCGGGATTGCCATTCACAGCCATTTCATTTGTTTTATTGTCTTTGTTGTAGAAGTCTGGATAGTGTTATCTGCCTGCTCTGCTGTCTTGGATCCTCCCCAACCCAGACTCATTGTGACATTTTTTATCTGAATTTTTGTCCTCAAAGTTTTCTATTGCTCATTAAGTAAGGATGGAAAACTCCAGCTTTTGGAAAGTATATTTATAGTCAGAAGTCATGGTTAGCATTCATTTTCTAACACAAAGAGATATTTATTAATAAGATAGACACATTGACAGTTACCTTTTTTTGGACCACCCAGAAATTTTAAGAGTGTAAGACTGAAAAACTTCATATTCTGCAACTGTGTAGAAGAGACAGAGCAACATACCTGGGTATGTGTCATTAACAGGCCACTTCCCAGAAATCTACTTTCTTTCTGTGATAATTTGCTAGTGTAGTATTTAAAACATGTTTTCATGTTTTATATGCTTAAAGGGACATAACTTATACAAAAATTTTGAAATGTTTTCAAGAAGTAGTCATCATGTACTAAAAAATAGATGGGCATGCATATGGATTCTGAAATGAAAATAACTTTCTGTTTTTTTTTTTTTTCTTTTCAAAAGGTTGGGGATGATCTGAATTCATTCTTGGTATATTGTTCACAGTATGCAGTTCAGCTAGAAGAAGCAGTTAAGGAAGAACGCAGTGTAAGTATTCTGTGTGTGTTACTGAGCATATAATATTATAACTTATATGGGTTGTTGGAACTTGAATGTGATTTCCGATCAGCAATATTAGCCTATGTTATAATGCCTTAGGCTCTATATTAAGGCTGGGCCCAAGATGGGTGGGCCTAGGGCTTGGGGGCTGCTTTTCCCTTGGGGGCAGCTCAATTTGAAGACTGGAGCCTGAGGTAGGCAGGGTGCAGAAGGGTTAGGAACAACTAAGGGAGATGAACTTGTCTATAAGTTTGTCCTCCTGTGGTGGCTTAAATGTTGCTGTGAGGCTGGAGGCTATGCCATTGGTGTTGCAAAATGCCAGCAGGGTTATCCATGCTGGACAGGTTTCAGTGGAGCTTGTGGGCTAAGACAGACTCAGAAGAAGGAAGAGGCCATCTACTTCTCAAACAATTGGCCAGTGAAAACCTTATGAATAGCAGTGAAACACTGTCTAATATATTACTGGAAAACTTAATGAATAGTCTTGAAACATTGTCTAATATAGTGCCAGGAGATGAGACCATCAGGTCAGAAAGCACTTAAAATTTGACTAGGGAAGAGCTGACTCCTCAGAATAGAGAGGACCTTAATGATATGGATAGAATAAAACTTTTGGGACCTCCATTGGCTGATGTGGCACAACTCCAAATGAGTAGAAACAGCTGCAAACATCCATTAATAATTGGAATATGGAATGTACAAAGTATCAATCTAGGAAAATTGGAGGTTGTCAAAAATGAAATGAAATGCATAAAGATAGATATCCTAGGTATTAGTGAGCTGAACTGGACTGGTTTTGGCCATTTTGAATCAGGAAACCATATAATCTACTACGCTGGGAATGACAAATTGAAGAGGAATGGTGTGGTATTCATAGTCACAAAGACTGTTTCAAGATCTGAAAGTACAATGCTGTCAATGATAGGATAATATCCATATGCCTACAAGGAAGACCAGTTAATACTACTATTATTCAAATTTATGCACCAACCACCACAGCCAAAGATGAGGAAATTGAAGATTTCTACCAACTTCTGCAATCTGCAGTTGATTGAACATGCAATCAGGATGTGTGGATTATCACTGGTGACTGGAATGCAAAATTTGGAAACAAAGAATAGTTACCAGTAGTTGGAAAATATGGCCTCGGTGATAGAAATAACACTGGAGAATGGATGATAGAATTTTGCAAGACTAACAACTTACTCATTGCAAATAACTTTTTTCAACAACACAAATGGCAGCTATACACCTGGACTTCACCAGATGGAGTACACAGGAATCAGATTGACTACATCTCTGGCAAGAGGTGATGAAAAAGCTCAATACCTTCAGCAAAAACAAGGAACTGATTGTGAAACAGACCATCAACTGCTCAAATGAAAGTTCAAGTAAAAGTTGAAGACAATTAAAACAAGTCCATGAGAGCCAAAATATGACCTTGATAATAAAAAAAAAACCAATCAAACTCACTGCTATCAAGTTGGATCCAACTCATAGCGACCCCTCCTTGGGTTTCCAACACGGTATCACTGCAGAAATAGATTGCCCAATCTTCCTTCCAAGGAGGGGCTGGTGGGTTTGAACCACCAGCCTTCTGGTTACCAGTCAAATGACTTAGGCACTACAACACCAGAGCTCCTAACATTGATAATATCCCTCCTGAATTTAGAGACTATCTAAAGAATAGATTTGATGTATTGAACACCAATGACCTAAAACCAGAGGAATTGTGGGATGACATCAAAACATCATCCATGAAGAAAGCAAGAGGTCATTAAAAAGCAAAGAAAGGAAGAGAAGACCAGAATGGATGTCAGAAGAGATTCTGAAACTTGCCCTTGAATGGAGAATAGTTAAAGCAAATGGAAGAAATGACAAGATAAAAAGAGCTGAACAGAAGATCTCAAAGAGCAGGTTGAGAAGCCAAAGTAAATTATTATAATGAAATGTATAAAGATCTGGAATTAGGAAACCAAAAGGGAAGAATATGCTCAACATTTCTCAAGCTGAAATAACTGAGGAAAATTTAAGCCTCAAGTTGCAATATTGAAAGATTCTATGGGCAAAATATTGACTAATGCAGAAAACATCAAAAGATGATGAAAGGAATACACAGAGTCACTGTACCAAAAAGAATTGGTTGATGTTCATCCATTTCAGGAGGTGGCGTATGATCAAGAATCAAGCCGTTAATTCAAGTCCAATGTTATTGAAGGAAGAAGTTGAAGCTGCACTGAAGAAAGTGATAAAGAACAAGGCTCCAGGAATTGACAGAATACCTATTAAGATATTTCAACAAATGGATGCCCTGTTGGGGGCACTCACTTGGCTATGCCAAGAGATTTGGAAGACAGCTTCCTGGCCAACTGACTGGAAGAGATCCATATTTGTACCCATTCCAAAGAAAGGTGATCCCACCAAATATAGAAATTATTGAACAATGTCATTAATATCACATGCAAATAAAATCTTATTGATAATAATTCAAAAATGGTTGCAGCAGTATATTGACAGATACCTTCCAGAAATGCAACCTTCTGAATCTGAAATGCAGATTCAGAAGAGGACATGGATTGAGGAATATCATTGCTGATGTCAGATGGATCTTAGCTGAAACCAAAGAATACCAGAAAGATATTTGCTTATGTTTTATTGACTGTGCAAAAGTATTCGATTATGTGGATTAAAACAAATTATGGATAACATTGAGAAGAATGGGAATTCCAGAACACTTAATTGTACTTCTGAGGAACCTGTACATAGATCAGGAGGCTGTCATTCAAACAGAAAAAGGGGATACTGCATAGTTCAGAATCAAGAGGAGAGTGTGTCAAGGTTGTATCCTTTCACCATACTTATTCAATTTGTATGCTCAGCAAATAATCCAGGAAGCTGGATTATATAAAGACGAATGTGACATCAGGATTGGAGGAAGACCCATTAACAACTTGCAATATGCAGATGACACAACTTTGCTGACTGAAATTGAGGATGACTTGAAGAACTTACTAATAAAGATTGAAGACTACAGTCTGCAGTATGGATTACACCTTGTTTTGATTACTTAGTGCTGCTCTGGTGGCATAGTGCCTAAGGCACCTGACTGCTAACCAGAAGGTTGATGGTTCAACTCTCCACACACACACCCCCCCCCCACTCCTCAGAAGGAAGGTTGGGCAATCTATCTACTTCAATAGAGATACTGCCTAGGAAATCCAAGGAGGGGTTGCTATGAGTTGGAGATGACTCAATGGCACATAACAGCAACAACAACAATAACAATAACAGTGCCACTCTGACAAGAATATACCATGAATGGAATGGCTGTAATGAACAGGAGTTTATTCTACCATTTTGGAGGCTTTAAGTTCATGTTAAAAGTGCCAGGCTCTACGGGCTGGGTGAAAGTCCCTCAACCTTGGGCTTCAGGTCTGCCTCTGTTCCTGGCCCACTGAAGCTTTTCATCACTCATCTGCTGGCTGTTGAGCCTGACAAACCCAAGGCCAACATGTAAGAAGGTCCAGTTCCGATATTACCAAACCACATAGCAGGCCATTAATTCAAGTCCATTGAAAATCCTAAGATCAGCAAAGCATGGCAGGCAACTGAACAATGACAACATGTGGGGTTCAAGCTTGCCATAAGCTAGAGACCATTCCCAAAGCTGCTGCTTATATATAGGAAGCAGACCATATCCCTAAAGCAGCTACTCAGCTGTTTGTGATAGATCCCGCTGTGGAGTTTATTGCCAGTCTTATCATGGAGAATAACTACCACCAGCAGCCCAGCCACTCAACCACACCCAGCCGAGTTAACATACAACCTTAACTACCACATACCTCAAAATAAAGAAAACAAAAAATCCTCACAACTTATCGAATAAACAGCTTTATGATAAATGTAGAAAAGATTGACATTGTCAAGGACTTCATATTACTTGGTTTCTACAATCAACACCAATGGAAGTAGCAGTCAAGACAGCAGACAATGTATTGCATTGGGAACATCTGCTGCAAAAGACCTCTTACAAGTGATGAAGAACAAAGATGTCTCCTTGAAGACTAAGGTGCGCCTAACCCAAGCCATGGTATTTTCAGTCGCATCATATGCATGTGAGAGCTGGACAATGAATAAGGAAGACCAAAGAAGAGTTGATGATTTTGAGTTGTGGTGTTGGAGAAGAATGCTAAGAGCACCATGGTCTGATAAAAGAACTAACAAATCTGTCCTGGAAAAGAGCAGCTGGAATGCTCCTTGGAAGCGAGAATGGCCAAATTTCGTCTCACCTACTTTGGTCATGTTGTCAGAAGGAACCATTCCCTGGAGAAGGATATCATGCTTGGTAAAATGGAGGGTCAACTAAGAAGAGGAAGGCCCTCAACGAGATGGATTGACACAGTTGTTGCAATGATGGGCTCAGGTATAGCAGGAATCATGAGACTGGCACAGGATCAGGCAGTGTTTCATTCTGCTGTGCATAGGGTTGCTATGAGTCAGAGATGACTCGATGGCACCTAACAACAACAACAACATAATGCCTTTAGGAGTTAGAAAGGACGCAAGAAAGCATTATTTATTTTCCTTATTCTTATCATAGGCAGTTAGAGCTGTGAATTTTCCTTTGGGTACAATGTTGATTGGGTTATTTGTATTCTCAAACATAGTATTTATATTTTGTGTGTTTTTAAAAGTAAATATGTATTACCAAAACCATATAAATAATGAAAATTAATAAGTAAAGATTTAAAAAGTAAGAAAATAAATATCACTATAATCCTATTTCCCAGTGACAACTACTGTTAGCATATTAACATATTTTTACCTTGTTTTCCTTAACAATATTAGTACTTTGAAAAAAAACAAAGAAATGATATACTTCATACTATTTGATAACTTATTTTCATCTTAATATATCCTAATCATTTTTACAGTTTGAAATTTGTTGAGTCTTTTGGCCTGGTTTAGGTTGGTTGGTTGGTTATTTT